GGAAGCCTGCTTCTCCCTCTCCCACTCCCCCTGCTTGTGTTCCCTCTCTCGCTGTGTCTCTCTCTGTCAAATAAATGAATAAAATCTTTAAAAAATAAATAAATAAAATGTAATCTACTCTTGATCCGTTTGAATCCTGAGCTTTCAGAATACATGATTATTTTCCTTTAAAAGTTAATGCTACTTCACAGCTCTTTACTGCTATAAAGTGCCATTCTAATTAGAAGTAGACTCATTTAATGTGAATTTGGCTTTCTCATCCCACGACTATATTAAGCTGGAAGTCAAAAGACCCATTATTCTGGTCCTGGTTCTGTCATTAACTGGCTTTATGACCCTAGGAAGTTATTTACTTTCTGTGAGCCTCAGTTTACTCATCTGTCAAATGATGGAGTTACAGAAAATGATCTATAAAGTCCCTTCTGCTCTAATATTCTATATTTCTTTGGAATCAGTTTTGCCCTGAGTGTGGCAGTGGTTTCCCATCATTAAAAAAAAAAAAAAAAAAATCTATGTTTTTGAAATTTTACGATATTAACATATATTCTCCTATATATTGAATGAGCACAGAAATTATTTTGCACAGTTTGTCATTCTAATTTATATGTTGCTATTTGAGATTTTTAGGGACGATTTGAGATTCTATTCAGTATTATCAGTTTTGTTAAATACTTGCCACCTTTAAATAATTTCTTTGCCATAATCCTCAGAATTTGTTGATTATGAGTTTTAGTGGGAGTATTTTAAGTAATTCCCAGACTTTTTATTGCTGGATTTTCTCTTTTGAGAGAATTATTGTATTAGGAAACTAAAGCTATTTTTTAAGTCTATGATTTATTTATAGCGAGAGCAACTTTAACTTTTTTTTTTTAAGTTTTCGTTTAGAATCTTCCCTGATTTTGGTTTGGCAGCAAACTAAACGGTGAAAAGATACTTGCAATATAATTGACCAAGTGGGATCATGTGATACTAAAAAAAGAAAAGTAATACCCTGTATATGTAAGACATCTAGTCAGAGGCACCACAGAGTTAGTATTTATCTGTATTCAATCTTTATTCTTTTTGATTTAACATGGCAGGGAGTAGAATAGAATAGAGAGTGGCAGGTACAAAGGTCTAGACTTCAAAAAAAGGATGGAATTTGGGATCCTGTGTTAAAATGCATACATGTTCATGGTTTGAATACTGAGGAGCCATGATTATAGTGTCTCGTAGAAGAATCTTCTCACAGTGGGATGCAGTGCAGGTAGATCTAAAAAATAAAAGCCCTAGAGGGTCGCAGATATCTAAAGAAGGAAGAACATCTCTCATTCTCCATCTTTTAACCCACAAATTACTTACTAGACATATCTTCCAGTCTGTTCATAAGTAGAGGAATTGTGTGCTTTATTTAGAGTATTTAAAATTCTATTATTAAAAGCCTTCCAAAGGTTTCAGGCAAGCTATCACCAAGTAAATTTTTAAACATGATTTTCTCATTCTGATAAGGAAAATAGGGAAGAGTTTAAATTTGCACTTGTTAAAATTTAAAGTCTCCTTCACAAATACAAAAAAATAAATTTTATTTGTAGTTGATCAAACAAGTGTTTGAAGATTTGAACAGAATAGAAATGTATTATGTGTATGTGGGTCTTAAGCAAATGTTGAGGTTTATCGGTTGATGTTTTAAAAATTACAAACCTACAGAAGTTTCAGTAGACTCCCCTCCCCCTTATTTATTTTTCTGTAGATGTTTAATTTGTTCTAAAACATCTATTAAAACAAAGTAGACTTCGCCTTTGTAAAATAAAAAATACATCATCAGTACTGAACTCAATTTTAGTTGAATCTCATCTTCTAGAATATCCAGTGGTTACCAGTATAAGTGTGTAATGTCCCAGCACTGCAGATTTCCAGGGATGCTAACTTCTGATATTCAAGAATAAATGCTATGGGGAAAAGAATTTAGTGTAATTTTAATAGCTTGGATTATTAGAATTCGATGCAAAATTATTTTTGTCATAAAGAAGTTAATTTACCTCATTCTAAATGGTACTGTCAGGGGTAAAAATATTTAATGCAACTTTTAAAAGTTAGCAATATAATTTCCTTTTGCTTATGAAGTCAGGTATTTTATAGTGGCATGACAGTAATAGAAAATTGCAAAGCAAAAAAAAGAGTATTAGTTCCTGTGCTTTAAAAAAGATATTCCTTCTAAGTATTTGTATTGCAAATGAATTATTACCAAATGTTAATAATCTATTTTGTCTTGTTTTTTAAAGTGAATGAATTTTTAGCTTTTGAGGGTCCCATCTTGTTGGATATGAGAATTAAACATCTAATCAAAACCAATCAGTTAAGTCAAGCAACTGCTCTAGCAAAGCTGTGTTCTGACCATCCAGAGATTGGTACAAAAGGTAGTTTTAAGCAAACTTACCTTGTTTGTCTTTGTACATCATCACCAAATGAAAAGTTAATCGAAGAGGTGAGTATGTTTTCTTTTGTTAGTAATTACTTTTAAAAGTGAGTATTTTTAAAAGTGAAGAAGTTAATTTTCAATTAGATTAGAATGTCTTTGACTTCTCTTAGAAAGTGAGGGACTGTTGTCAGTCTTAAATTTTAGTATGCTTTGGGGTAGTGATTCTAAGCAGCTTTCAGAGTTATATGTAAACTGATTTCACCTAGCTTCTTTTTAAAATTGAACCTTTTTACTGCTGTGGTTAAATTATGGGAAGATGGAGGTGGCTTAACAATTTAGTAGGGTGTTTTTATTTGTTAGCAATTGGACCTTAACTTCAGTTTTACCTAACTTCAAGATACTTGTAAATCTAACTGGCTAATTTAAGTAACTATAGAATTTATGTGACTTCCTCCTAAAAATATGTTCTCTGTTTTATACACACACACACGCCTAGCGTATTCAAAAACAGAATGTATTCCTAGGGAGAAGTCATATATATATAGCTGGTATCTATATATATATATTAAGATCAAATTTTTATTTGCATATTTAATGTAAAACTTTATTTTTTGTGAGACATGATTTTTTTACTTCTGGTTTGGCATAAAGCATAGTATTCATGTATTTGTTTTATACTACAGAATTCTGAGATAGAGTCATGGTCCAAATGGGAATTTGCATTTTGGAGGACTCGTAATTCCAAAATGAAGTTGGAGACAGGGTAGGAAAATTAAAAGTTGTTGATCAAGAAACAGGGAATATGTATTTAAATAATTTAGATAAAGAAAACTATAATGTGTTGAACAGTTTTGATTGAGCATTTAATGCACACAGTTGTCTTGTATCTCTAATATAAGTATCCTTCAACCCCAGAGCAATAGAGAGAGGAGAAGAAAATGACTGAAGGACACACTTAAAGATGTGTAACAGGAAGAGTTGAGATACAAACCAAGACAATTAAGAGAGCTTGCATGATCAGCTGAGTAGACAGATACTGTAATCAGTCTGGAAGAAGGATAGCCTCAGACAAAAAGCTGAATGCCCACATGAGGTTAGAGTTTGTAATTATAGTGGTAATTGTATGTTTTTGTTTTTGTTTTTGTTTTTAAGAAAATGAAGAGGGAGATGGTAGGCTTGGACCAAGATTAGAAATAAGGTTGTTGTGGATGGTGAGGATAATGAGAGTACTGGGAAGAGTGATGTCTGGCGATTCTTAGGCTGAATAGAATAGAGCTCAGGGCTGTAGCCTAGGAAATTACATCATTAGTTTAGACATATAAAGATTGAAGTTTTCTTATTAGTTCAGAATAGCTATGTAGACAGTTAATTGACAGACATATAAAGTTTCTTGAGATAGCTTTTGAAATGTGTTTAACAGTTTTTCTAAAATTCTTAAATTATTGTGTTGCTGCTACCTGTTATTTTTCAGCTCCATAGTAAAGCTTTCATTATCAGTTCATTCCTTGCCCTTATGTCAGTCTGTCCATTCATCTATCCTCCCTTCATCAAATTTTTATTAAGTCAGTGATGTGTGCTGTCTAAGCACTGGGGGGTTAAATGTGAGTTAAGGCATAAGTCTTGGCCTAAAGCAGCTTAGCTTCTAATAGGAAACTATCTAAACATAGGGTCATTAGGCGAAGTCCCTGTTTGAAGTTGAAGACTATGAATTTGTAATCCCCAGGAAAAATCTGTATTTCTAACTCTCTTGAATAATCAGAAGATCTTGCAGTACTGAACCTAAGTTCCCTTTTGGTTTAATTTTTCAGAGTTGAGTAGCAGCAGCCTAGCTTGCTCTGGGAGATCCTCAGGAAAATTCTGTGTGAGGGCCCCAGGTATCTCTGATGTCATATAAAGTGATTTTTTTTCCTTCTTATATTAAGTAAGCAGAAGTAAGGCATTCCATGTTTTTAAGCAGAGTTCACCGAAGTCTCTGTACCCTATCCCAGAAACAACACTAGATCATAAAGTGCAGAACAGGACAGGATATGTATAAGTCTACACATTCCTTGTTAAAAGTCTTCTTTTGCTTAGAAATTGTTTGGTTACTCTTTTATGTTCCTATTAAAAATATATAGAAACTTTTTCTTCATTGTTCCATGTGAAGTGGGTTAAGATTGGCTGTCACCAAGGCCTGTATTATTTCTGCCCCAGGGGAAGGTAGTCACTTTGTTTGGAACAATTGCCCAAAGATACTGCCCTCTTCAGAAGAGGTATGCTGTCTCTCACACATTCATTTGCTTTTACCTGTCTGGTTCTTATAAGCATTTGACTTTTTTACCCATTCCTTGGTGTATGGTAGGAAGAGATATTGGAAAGAGTCAGCCATGGCCTGGATTCTGTGATCCTTTTGAGGAAATCCTTGTCCAGGGGAGCCAGTAGACAAGGAATCTACTAGGATTTTCCCAGGATCCTTTCACTGTAATAGAAATAGCAGCTAGCCCTGGTAGATGGCCAAGGAATGGGGCTGAGAGAGGAGTGTTTATCTGGCTTCTCTGGAAGGAATAGCTTGGCCTGTATTCTTGGTATAGGTATAAAACAAAGTGAGCAGTGTTTTAGTATTTTGGATCTATTTAGAGCCAGTATTTCTATTGGTTTTGTCATTAAAATAAACATAGAATTTTTTTTTTTAAAGATTTTATTTATTTATTTGAGAGAGAGAATGAGATAGAGAGCATGAGAAGGGGGGAGGGTCAGAGAGAGTGGCAGACTCCCTGCTGAGCAGGGAGCCCGATGCGGGACTCGATCCAGGGACTCCAGGATCATGACCTGAGCC